CTCTCCCAACCGCAATATTCCACCCCGCGATATTAACCCTTCTCAACGCCACTTCATTCAGTCCTTCAGTAAGAACCAATTTAACGCAAACGACTTCAATCATTATTCTTTTATTATTCTACAAAATCATTGGAATAAAGATGTAGAGGAGCGGCAGAATGTTACATCAACATCTTCTTGATGAACTGAATAGTTTGCTAATTTTAGTGACGGAGCAAATATGTGCTGAACTCATTCATCCACTGTTTTGCTCCGATGACGAACTCTAATAGGTTTTTTCCCCAGAAATTTAATTTTAAATATTTTAAACAAGAAAAAAAAGAAGAAAAAAATGCTAAATAACACAGCAATGAATATAAACAAAAAAAATCAGCTCATAAACAAAATACTGCTAAATATTTTATAATTAAAAAAAAGTATGATAAAGAGGGGAAACAGAAAAGCAGAATTGATACCGCTTTTTAAAGGTTTAAGAAATTTGTCCAATTTCCTGCTTTCCGGGTTCACTACAGAAACGAAAAATTTGTTAACTAATACGTACACAAAAAATTAATAAATAAAAAAAATTCGACAGATTTAATATGTATAGATATGTATAGATATATATGGATAGATATGTAAAAGATAAAAAAAAAAAAAAAAAGAAAATGGAATTTATATTCATTAACATTTAAAATCAATCAAAATCCAGTGAAAAATAAGATGTATTTTTTTCAACACACAATCCAATTTGTTTTTTTTTTTTTTCTCTTCTTTTTCTTGCACTATAATTTACACAAAACTGGAAGAATTGGTCTACCAATTTGCATCTGCTTTTCTTACGTGTCTCTGACAGATAGGTAAACGACAGTATATCCAGTGCAAAAATTCCCAAAATAAAACACTGCTATATAATTCTCTTTCTCTCTTTATCATAATTGAGAGGGGGCCTACTTTAATTAACAAAAAATGGCAAAAAAGTGGCACAAAAAACTTACTGCCATTACAATTTCAAATGGATGTTTGTAGATCCTTACTGGGCTTTGATAAGTTTTTACCATGTCGATTACTTGAGATGAAATAGATCCGGATTAGAACTGAATCGCACTATGCTGGATTGAACTGATTTGAGCCAAAGTAAAACTGGATTTTAATTGAATTGAAATTACAGACAAAATATTGCCGCTTTTGTTACTGGTACCCTTCGCCTAAAAAACGGGTACTGCTCCTGAAAAACGAAACCCTATCAACAAAAAATACCATTTACTTTAGCTTCAATCGGCAGACAAGAGCAAGAACACAAACAGGACCGAACAGGTAATAATTAACCGAATAAAAATCTATTTATTCTATTTTTCAGCAACAAAAATCAACGAACCAACTGTACAATAAAAGAATGTACAGGTGAACTAAACAGGTGAATGAATAAATGATCAACTATAGATATGAATAAACAAATAGGTAAACAAATTAAGAGTACAAAACAGCAACAACAATAACAACAAAAAATATGAAACAAAATTTTTGACAGATGACAAGTCTTTTTTCCTCCAACTTAAAAAAAAACATAAATAAAGCAACAATCATCTAACTTGTCGACAAAACTTTAAAAATAAACTCAAAATTAATGATCAGAAAGATACAAAACGGACAGACAAAGGGAATCGTCTTTTCCGCCCCAACCCCTCTTTACTCTCTCAAAAACTTCACTATCAATTCCGGGTAAAACCCCTTCAACCTTTTCGTCCTATAAGTAAATATAATAAAAACGGTAATAAATAACAACAAAACAGCAACAACCACCAAAAATTATGTTTTTTTTTCGAAAACACTGGAAAAATAAGGACTAGACGAAAATGTATTTAAAAAAATTTGCGTGCTATTCAAACAAGAAGGGAATTACTCTTTCCTTCTTCTCAACAACATGAGGATATTGTTGAAGTCGTCGCATTTTTATATCAATAACTTCTTCTCCTCCTTAATCTTATTCTCCTCCTTCTCCTCCTCCCCTCTTTTTCGCTTCCTTTGAACAGAATAATTCAATAAGTTTGACTCTTTTTCCCTTTCTTCACTAACATTAATACTCAATAAACATTCTAGTTTCAACAAATATGGTAGACAACTTTCGCCTGTTTTATGTTGTTATCGCTTACCTTGCTACCATCCGCTTCTCCTGGCGCCTTCCTTGTTTTAAGCCACCACCTCTGCCCTGTCCCACCAATCCTTACCAACTCTTTTTTCCTTCATCTTCGCCAAAATCAAAAACAGATTATGTGTAAACATATAATCTCAACAGTTTTCGACTTTCTTCATAATTTAGCTCAGTACACTCTATTTCTAAACCTTATTCCCTTAATAAAACAAACTTTCTCTTCCCTGATCGTCTATGATGCCTTTTTCAACTGCTACAACCCATCCATTTTACAATCTATTTCGCTTGCTAAACTGCTCAACAAAGTAATATTTTAAAAAAAGAAAAGAAGGAGAAAACCAGAAAGGTAAACTTTAAACAGAGAGAAACTGAGATACCGATAACAGACAGCTAAAGATACCGACGTTCAAAACCAACACGCCTCCAATACAGTGACAGCAATTACAATATCAATACTCATCACCATCAT